TAATTCCTAAAGTGATAAGGGTTCTTTAATGCTACCCACTGTGAGTGGATTCATATAAATCTTATAAGAAGATGCCAGGATTATCTCTGTGCCACTGAAGCCTAGAAGTCTGTGTCACTGTGAAGCAACAGAAGTAGCTACAAGCATGGTTGAGAGCTTTTTCTTCAGCATATCATCAGGTTCAATCAGCCCTGGTAGGTGTGGTCTGTTACCATCCCATTTTAAAGTTCTCAACCATCTCCCCCCCCCCCCCTTTTTTTTTTTTTTAAAACCCACAATTTATGAATTACACCCTTTTAGTGACTTGTACTTAAAATAAAAGCTTTTAAAAGGATGTAGGTGCCATGGTTATCCGAATTTAGAGAAGTGAGTCAGAGAATGGAAATAGTTCTGATCTGTGAATTGTAATGTTTACCCTACCAGAAGTCTGGCCATTAATACTCATTCACACAGCACTTGTGATGTCAGCGGGCTAACTTCCAGTGCTGAACAGATCACATATGAAACTGTTTATATGTCCCTTTCAGCTCCACATAAGCAGCACCCTCCTCTTGTACAGGCCACCACTGATATGCTTCCCAGAACTATAATCATTCCCCCCACCCAAAACAAACAAACAAACAACTCTACAGCTACCCTCACTCTTTCCCATCACTCAAAACAGAGTAAGCTGTGTGAGTTAAGTCAGTTAATTTTGAGATGTTATTTTGCTTCCAATATACAGCAGAACTATATAACTAAGGGCTTGTCTACACTGGCACTTTGCAGCGCTGCAACTTTCTCACTCAGGGGTGTGAAAACACACCCCCAAGTGCCAGTGTAGACAGTGCACCAGCACTGGGAGCTGTGCTCTCAACGCTAGCTATTCCTCTTGTGGAGATGGGTTTTTTTAGAGCGCTGGGAGAGCTCTCCCCAGGCACTGCACCGCGTCCACACAAGCCACGTTAAAGTGCTGCTGCGGCCAGCACTTTAACATTGCCAGTGAAGACGTGCCCTAAGTTAATGCCCTCCCTTTGGAAACAAAGCCCACCACCATGCCAGGAAAGGGTTTAGACATGTTTCAGCATGTAAATAGCTCTACTGGCAGCATAACAAAGGTTTGTCTCAGCCAATAGCGTGTGAAGGAACAATTTGATACAATCTATTTTCCATACAGACAATTCTATTAATTTTAGCTATATTGATAGACATTTGGGGCAGAAATATTAGCGCCTACCTAGGTTTATACAGTGGTAGTTACAAGTTTATTCACAGATTTAACTCCACTTCCTTCCCACCCTGATGAACGTCTTTATAACCTGATCTAGAACAGAAATCCTCTTTATAACTTGAAAAAAGTTAAATGGCTGGATTGTATGGAAGCATTTTTAGTATTACCAAATTTCAGAGACCCAATTTTAAAGCAGTAAGTTGCCGATTTACATGAAAGGAAGGGTCTTGTCAAAGCAACACTCTCTCACACAGATCATTAGCTATTCTGACTTCACACACAGAATATTCACTATTCACCACCCTCCTACTAGAACACAGAAATTAAAGTTATGAAGTGAGAGAACTAGAAATAGTCACATTCGGGAACTGCAGTATTGTTTGAGGATTAAGGCTGGCTATTTGCTGGCCTTAAGCCACACTACACACAGTCTAACTGTAAAACTGACTCCTGATGCTTAAACAAGAACAGATGCAGTTCCATGCAGAAAGGCACTCAGACTTCCACTGGTATTCTTAGCCATGACTGGATGGCAGATCCCATCAGAGAAGAGCTTTTGCGTTACAACCTCATGGGATAATCTCCAAAGAGCAGGCTCTGTTGGTGGTTTCACATTGCATAAACTGACTTTAATTACCAGCTTATTATACAGCAAATTTCCCCTCACTCTGGAAGAGGAGCAGCTCACAAGAGCTTACGTTAGCGTCAATATCCTTCAGAAACAGTACACCTCTACGCTGTCCTCGGGAGCCAAGAAAAATCTTACTGTGTTATAGGTGAAACCGCATTATATTGAACTTGCTTTGATCCACTGGAGTGTGCAGCCCCGCCCCCCCGGAGCACTGCTTTACCGCGTTATATCCGAATTTGTGTTATATCGGGTCGCGTTATATTGAGGTAGCGGTGTAGTTAACGTTTTTGGCAGTGCTTTTATTACAACTCAGTTTTGTTCTGCAAGTTAATATGAGAAAATTACAGCATCTTTGAAGTGAACCCAACAGAATCTGGTTAGCATCCAATGGTTCTCTTGGGGGGGCGGGGAGGGAAGATCTGAGGCCTTTACACCGAACTTGGGTCGTGCCAAGGGGCCTTACAATGGGCGTACATGTGAGCCAGGCCCAATCTCCTGAAAGATTCAATCAAGTGAGGTTTTTTAGTGTCACTTGCACAAAGCTTTAAACCTCCTTGTGCTGCCTTTCATTTTGCTGAAACTTGGAACTTCTCAATACTGTGATCAGTTGTGTATTTATACCATAAATCCAGGAAAACTGATTGAAATGAGAACAAGTAGCTTTTCCTGATTTAATACCTCCCCCCAACCAAGAGACTCCTGAAGGACTAGCCAGCATTATGCTCAGATGAAGCCATCAGTCCAGAGTTTGTTTTCTGGTCTGGTTATTAACTCTGAATTTTAGCCTTCAGCACTGATAAGTAGCATCCACTGAGGGAATAATTCAGATAGCCAGTATTCACTTTTGAATCTTTCACTTCCACATCCTAGGAACCTGGAGGGCACTTCATTATGACTCAGGAGAATACAACATGTAGACAGTCGAAGTGCTGGAAAAGTCTGAAAAGCTTAGCATTATTAAGAAGAAATACTTCCAATGCCCACTTTAATGCCCAGTAAATTTCTGGTTTCACAGGGAAAAAAGGAGTTAATATGGCATGTGTGGGACTGCAGTCACTTTGCAAGATAAACATTACAACTCATGATAGCATCAAGTTTGCATGTGAAATTTTAATTGTAAAATAAGAAGTCAAGCAGTAGTTAATTGCCATTTATTAGATGAAGTGCTCTAAATAGAGTTTTCTTCATAGATTGAGCCACAATGAGAAGTACTATAGTCTCCAAAAGGCTTAATATAGCTGGTGGAAAATTAGGGATAAGAATAATCAATCCTTTATTCTTCCCTGAATGACAAATACTTCCTGAGAATAGCTAGTGTTTCTAGTGCACTTGGCATATTATACAACTGAAGCAGAAGAGAAGACAGATTGAGCCCTCAAAGTCAACAGCTCCACTAGGAAAAAAGTTCTCTGAGTAACATTTCTGAAATCCAAGTAGTGACAGAAAAAGGTCGAATGAAAAGGCAATTCCTTCCCATGGTAAGTGGTTATGTTGATGTGTATTGCCCTCTCTCTCCAAAGGAGCTTGTCTGATTTGCCCCCGTGGTTAAGAAAGAGCTGTCTCCTGGCGACAATACAAAGAACAACCAGGCACCTTCCGTTCTACTTTTATTTTCACTTTCAGTTAAAAACAAACCATTGTTCTTTTAAAAAAGAATAATCCATTCATTTGTGATTATAAAGTGCATTTTTTCACCTTGAACTTTGTGTACAAAAACATTTTAAAAGACACACATGCAAAAACAGCTTAACAAGGCACTTCCAGGCATAAAAGAAGGACAGCAATGCCTCACTTCTACATTCCCACTGGCGAAAGAAAAGTGTGAAAAACGAAAGCTCCAAGAAGTTACCTTTTTTATGTTTTCGAATCATCATTGGTCAAAGAGTCAGTTCCCAGCACAATGTTTACACAATGTCAATGTGTAGGTCACAACTTCCACAGCTTTTTCCCCATCCACTGCGGTACACGATTGCTTCCATTGGCTGGTATGCACGGGCCCCTTCACTGTACCACCAGGAGGAGGAAATAAAAGCACACTACCACCCATGGCACTACAGACTCACACATCACTGTTGCATTTTAGGGTGTCATGGTTAGGATCTAAAGGTGTGCTAGAATGTGTTAGCTAAAAGTACATGAAGCAAGCTGTATACTAGATTTTTAGAACATGTCAGCTAAAAACAACCATACCTTTAAATCCTAGGCAAGTTAAACCCTTGACTCAATTCACAGCCCAGCTTTGTAAATCAAAGAACGATTTTAAACCAAACCTGGATAAGTCTTTCCTAAAGACAACTTTACGGAGGACACTATTTAACTTATCAAACGGAAATTCAGGAAACAGACTTTTCAAATTAGTGAATGAAGCTTGTGCAACCCATGTTTACATACACATACACACAGTGTTAATTTAATGCCTGAAATTAGTGACTGAGTACAATAATGCTTTCCACAGCCCAATACATTTATTGATGCAAAGATAAATCAAAAAACTATGCATTCTTCCTGTAAGCTCATTGTTCTTACTTAATCATGTCTAATAGAAGGTTGGATACATCATCTCCTAAAATTATAGGACAGTGCAGAAGTGTTTTGTACTGTGGTCTCCAGAATTAAAGAAGTGATGTTTTTAAAAGCAATTTTGAAGAATAGCATAGCCATTTGCTTCTTCCTGTGCCCTCCCAACACAAATATTGGGTATGTGCCAAAAATATAACGTTTGTGTTCTAGAAAAAATAGAATATCTGGAAATATTAAACCGCATTTGAATTATTCCATTTAAGTATATGAAATAAGTTATTCTGCTCAAATAGCAAGACATTGGCTTAATGATTGCAGTGAGTAATTTAGCTACATTCTCTCTGGCAGTACCTAAAATGACTGTTCTTTGCAATTCACCACTCCTCCAAAACAAGCCATGGTACTCTCCCCTCTACCGCAACAGATCTTCCTTTTCAACAAGAGCAACGATGGCATCTCATGCCCTTGAGAGATCCATTTTCTTGGGCAGAACTACATTTTGTATGGAAATAGCACTGAAGGCAAATGTGTGCACTTAATTGTGATAGCTTCTACAATGTCAATACAAGATACAGATGTGACAGCTCAGTATGTAATTACAGTGCAAGTCTGGTGTTCTAGCAATCTAACCCATTCTAGCATGAAAACAATGAACAAAGAGCTACACATCCATTCTAGTGAGACACAAGTTTTAGACAAAACAGTTGACTTGGATTAATACAAATTTTCAGAACTTTTTAAAAGCTAGCAGTCACATTTCAGAAACCTTTGTAGTTCAAGCCACTGCTGTGATATTGTACACAAAAAAAGTTCTGAGCCAAGGCACTCACACTGCACTAAGAAGTTAGTCTCCCGAATAAACTGTCTTCATAGGACATGACAAGCAGCAGCAGTGAGGTCTGTTTATCAAATTTCAAACCCACTACAGAAACAACAAATAAATTCACAAACATGCAATGTATTTACTGTCCATGCACACTCATGCATGAACCCTTTGGCACCCGGTTTCCTAACAGAATGAAAGCTGATTTTACATTAGCACTAAAAGTAGGAGCTGCTGCACTCCCCAGGCACAGTAAGGCAATTAATAGAGATACATATTGAGAACTGAATGGCGATCTTTCAGCATCTGCAAGATTAAAAATTAAAAAAAGAAAAAATCCTCAGTGTTACTCCCCAAGTAGTTCAAGAGCGCCGGGGGGCTGGAAGACCTTCTGGACATATTAACAGTTGCAGACAAAGAGCTCTTCCCCTCCAGTAAAAATGGTTTTTAAAACACTTGATGAGTCAAAGGATTTAACCCCAAAGCTACAAGGATACTACACAGTTCTAAAGGAAAAAAAATTCAACTCCTCAACATGGGCAATCCCTATGAATTTACTACACAAAAGTTATATTTTAAAAAAAAAAATCTTACAGATGAACTGGTGACTAAGCATACCAGTATCTTCCCATAAATGCAGATATCTCCTAATATGGCACGAGGCGAAGCTTCTAGTCATGGTTATTGTGTCATTTCTAGAATCTTTTCCATCTTTAACAAAAAGGCTCCAGCACAGAAAGAAGGTCAGAGAGAAGGGACATTCACATCCCCCTCTTGCCATCAGAAGGCTAGTTTAGCTTTAATATCTCCTGTCATGTATAAATTACCTGTCAAATAGTCTTCTAGCAAAGCCAACTTGCATAGTGCTACAGAAATGGTAGAGCATAGTTAAAAAAGCCTCCCTCTTTAAGATACTCAAGCCTGTAACAACCCTAATGTGCAACACAAGACACTACTACATACCTAAGTGAACAATGCAATCACTGAAGTAGTAAGTGTTTAACTGGAGGAGATTAGCAGCATTATACAGAAGAGGACTAGCAGCACTGGGCAGAAACTCCAGTGAGGTCTCCCATTCTGTCAAACTGTTTCCAAGTGTTGAATCTGGGGGGTAACTATCATGATGCAAAAGACACTAGTTTAGCTGGTATTAAAACCACTTGCGATCACTGAACGTTACAGTCATCTTGCTTTACCCCAATGGAGCTTTGCAGAGCCATGTAAAGTGTCATTTACCCAGCCCTTTAGCAAACTTCATGTTCAGGCCAATTCCCAAGCTTGCAACAGGCACAGCAACAGTTAGAGAATCAAGACTCAGTTCCTCCATTAGTAGTAAGGCCCTAGCTTTTCATACCCTGAATAGCTAGGCCACTCAGGAAACAAGCCATAGGAGCACCTCGGACTTCCAAACTGATCAAAGGCAATGCCAAAATCAGGTCCAGCCTGAGGCTGCGAGACTTCCCGAGCAGATTTCAGTTCAGACTGTATGATCCTGTAATTCAGGCCTCTGTTGCTGTCCCAATACACTTTCCCATCACACTCGTAATAGACTGCAAACTCGATTCTTTCATGGGATTGAATTCTCTCTGGCAAGCAGATATCAAAGGAAAACGTGTCCTTGTCTGAACCTGCATAAGTGTCCTTGACATATTGGCACGGATAGTCTGTGAAGCTTTTCCAAGTGTCGAATGTCATCCTTATTCTCACAGTCTTCTCAAAAGCAAGATTCTTAACCTTCACTGTGCCCACAATAGCTTTATCCTTTAGCATGCAGTTTTCCAGGCAGACAAAATCTGTCTGAAGGCGATTTCTGAAGTCCAAGTAGTCTGCAGAAGGCTGTACGAAATCCAAGACAAAGTTGTCCCTCTCTACTGTCGTCAGACCCACAATATTGTCTATTAACTCTGTGATGTTGAATGGAATATCTAACGGGTCATCAAACTCTGAAAACACTTTAACCATTGTCAGAGCCAAGCCTCTGCTATCGGCAAAAGAAACTCTCTTTTTCACCCTATTTCCCTGGAGAGATGTTGCTGCCTCTCCAGGTTCACTGAACTCAGCCTTACTGTTCTGAATGCAGGGACGTAATGGTTTGTTTGGCTTTGGAGCGATTTTACAAGCAAATCTCTCTCTTCTCAAGGGTGGAGAACACAGATACAGCTGCATGGCTATGTCCACAGCCATTGCTGGTGTAGGAGCAAAGTAGTCCAGTATTCTGAAAGAAAGAGGGGGGAAAAGGTGAGTTTTCATCACATAATTATATGACCCGAAAAGGAGCATAAGCAAGCAACATGAAAACTTCATTATGCTGGGACATGAACTCCTTTTGAACTTTAATTTCTGCTACATACAGTCAGCTGCTGAATAGTTTTTTTCTGGAGCACACCTTGCCCCCTCATTCCCCTGCAATAAAATATTATCAATGACAAGCGTTAAAAGCAAAGCATACAGAGAACGAGAAGAGTAAACTGGGTTTTTATATTGCATTTCCTCCATTCTAACTGCATAAACCCTTTTGTTTGTTAAATACCGTGCAGAGATCAACCATTTTTAAATGAATCCACACTGTAGGACCATGACTAAAAATATTTACTGGCCCAGGAAATATTTCTTCTACTCTGTCATGGTGTTTCTAGTTATGATAGGTTGCAAAACACTAAACCTAAGTATAGTGCTTTACTCCCCCACCTCAACCCCTTAATGGTTTTGCTGTATTATGGTTAAATGAACATTGGAAGTTAATGTAAAATTTCAGTAGTTTCACAAACTTAAATACAATTAATTATATTATATTTCTGCTGTGGTCTCCTCCCCAGGAGAGTCTGATATTTTCTCCACTTCACTGCGTAGCTGTAGCTTCCTTTAAAATGTAGAAACAGGAACTGCATATTTCATCATCAGCAGCAGTATGGAACTGATATGACCTCTAGAGGGGACAGAACCACAGCAGAACCATAGACACTAGACTTTATGATAACTTGAAGAGTTGTCATAAGAAATGACAAACTTCAGTGTCATCCCCCAAACTTCAAAAATCAGGTTATTTCAATATGCTTCCCTCCTCAGACTCTTCTGGCACGATTTTGAGCAGCCAATCTTCTCATGAACACTGGGGTTAGAGATGAATGCCTTACACATGATACTCAGTAGATCTAGCTCTCTTCTTGAGACACTGGCAAAATGGTAATATGAATGTGATCCTAAGGTTTGATACTATTATCTCATGGGCTACCGACACTAAACAGATGGTGCTCAAGTTTTCCTGCCCCATCCAATATTACTTTATAGCCATGGCGATTCAGGAAATAATGGATAAATACGTATGTATAAATACTCATTTTAAATGGTCACGGAGATGAGCAGTGACATTTTGGCAGGGGACCGAGCAGTGTAGCATGGAAGTATTCTAGACCCAGTCCCCAGAAAAGGCTAGCAGATACAGCAGGGTACGTGCAGCTCCACAGGATACGTGCACTTAATGGTAAAAGGAATTACATTCAATTAAAACCAAAGGGACCTTTAGCAAGCTAAACATGCTATTAAAAACAAAACAACCAACCAACCAACCACTGGTGCCAAGAGCCACCCCCACCCAAGCCACATCCCGATCTTGCAGAGTCTCCTGCTGTTTGTGTGCTCACAAGTAGCTGGCCCAGGGTCCCCACTGACTGAACTCCAAGCTCCAAATTAATGCCACCTCCCTCAAACGTATAGAATACTCTACTGGGGTGGCTGCGTATCATCAACGGCCCCCTCTTCTAGACAGTGTCATTCTCCCTCCCCTCCCCCATGTCTCCTGCTACAGGGCATTTGGGAAGGTAGCCCCCACCTACTATAAACAGCAGCAGCCACCTTCCTTCCCCCACCTAACTGTGCAAAGATGGTAGCACTGGAGCTGTGTCTGCATCGTTATGTTGTTCACACTCAGGTTCTTCCCTGCAAACATCAGAACTGGAAACAATTGTACACTGACAGCCTATTGCCTAGATTCGAATGACACATGCATGGGCAAAAGTCCGACTTGCTTGGGATGAACTGATTGTTCTCCGAGCCCTGAAGAATACAGGATTGATAAAGCACGATATAGCCCACTGATTTTAACACGTGATTTAAAATGAAGAACTTTTAATTAAAAAAAAATATATATTTCAATGACTCCTCTCCTGCCACTCCCAAATCAAAATCTATGGGCCAATCTCTAAATGAGACCGCAGCATCACAACAGCGGTTGGCTAAAGAGAACCAGGGATAAATGAGAGATCAAGGCTGCCAACAGCTATTTAGAACCTTAGTACCTTACAACTACAATACTCAGGCCAAGAACTATGCTCCTTACAGAAAGCTGTCTACACATCAGCCCTTCTTCAGAACAGCATCAAAATATTTCATCTGTACGTTGCATTCAACAAGGACTTCTGTTTATTCAGAATGTGTGTCAAGACCTGAGTGCAAGAGTGCACTCCAGCAACTAGCTCCTCCTCCGCTTCCTCATCATAGCCTGACACAGCTCAAATCCAACTAGTGTCGCAAACCTCACAGAGCAGCATTAAATCCACGTGTGCATTCTCTGCTGCTGTACATGGTCTTGACAAGCCTCTACTTACACACACGAAGCTACTGTGTATATATGCTATTTCATCCTGCAAAACAATACAGCCACAAATATTCACAACTGCCTGTTACTTCAACCAGTCTCAGATGCATTACAGGGTCATGTCTCATTACAGTTAAACCTCTTTAGTATTTGAGGAAACTAACAACTGCAGCCTCAATGTCCCTGGCAATATCTGGATAATGGAGGATATACTGTATTATTTAATAAAAAGGTATTCTATCAAAAAGCTATTTTGGGACATTCAACCTAAGGGTGTTTAGAAGTCAAACCTCATGATGCATCCTATTTAAGCCATTAAAAGTCACAAGGCCAGATCTACTGAACTGCCTGCAATTTTCAGTTACGATTTTATAACTCAGGAGGTGAATTTTTGCTCTGGATTGACCGTGGGGCACTTGCTTCAAAGTCCAAGAATGCTGGGTGGGACTCTGTTGAACCACCCTAAAAGGAATGGGGAAGCTTTTCATTTAAGTCAGAGATTTACAGTAAGGCTAATGAACTGTCTCAGGTTTTAAAACATTTGGATCTTTAAAAGTAATTCAGTGAATAGCTGTTACTGGAAAGATGCCCACAAACTCAGCTCTGAAAAACACAGGAAGTGTTCAGCTACAAGAATGAAGGAAAAGCGTGTTTAAAGGAACACTGACGACTTGATATCTTCATTCTTTTAAAGAAAGTTTGAAGCTCATTTGCCTAGTTTTCAATACCACTCCAAAGACTTCGAAACTATATTGCCCTGCCAGTTTCACCCTCTTCTCTGAGCAAATACTAATGCCCTTTCTCCCACCCCAGCTTTATAAGCAAACATGTGAACAAAACTGTTTAAATCCATGTTTGTCAACAGCCTCTGATGATATTTGTACAGATCCAAAAATAAGGTTTGTTAACTTGTTAGCTTCCTCTGCTAGCTGTCTGCAGCAGACTAATATAACATCAAACATTAGCAAGGATCTTGAAAGCATACGGACAATAAACAAGTTGAAGACAGTTTTACAGGTATATTATATGCTGCATGTTAGGTCCAGAAGAGGGGGCAGTTTATTCTAAGTGAGGATGTATTATGCTAGTACCACTTGGTAATCAGCTGTCTTCATTTGGGGCAGGTATATACAACAAAGTTTTGATGGCATATCTATGTTGGTCAGGGGGGTGGAAAAAAACACCAACCAAACAAAATCACACAGCCAGTTATGCTGACAAAAGCCCCTGTGTAGACACAGCTATGCTGACAGAGGAGTAGGCGAGGCCTTGAAGTACAATTGATGCATACGTATGGTCTCTTGAGAAGTTCAAATACCTTCTCTTCTCATCCTCTCAGAAAAGGGGAAGATTGTCTAGGCCTCTCTTGGGCAGCTGGAACTACCAGAGAGCCTGGAACAAGAGGAGAACAGAAGTTCTGAAATCCCTTCTCAAGGGCTTGGGACCTATAGCACCTCTCTCCTAGATGTAGCTAGTACAGAAGCTAGAGTTAGCCACAAATCCTTCACTTGCTCCAACATCTCTTCATTTATTGGAAGGGCCCATTTAGATTGTAAGCTCTTATAGGGCAGGAACTCTCTCTCGCTATGTCTATGTACAGTGTCCAGCATAATGGGGCCCTGATCTCAGAGACCTCCAGGCACCAGGGCAACACAAATACAAATAAATTACTTTGGAAAATCCAGCCATTATTTAGGTATCTAAATGGGAACAGAGCTCTTTTGGGAGTCTGGCCCTACAGTGATGTTAGTCAATAACCTGTAGGAGAGCAATGGTGCAACATATGCCCCTCCTCATGGGAAATCGGCAAACAGTAGGTAGGGTAGCTGGCAATGGGCTGAATGCCATTCTAGGTACAGCATAACATGAAGCCAGTAAAATGAAGCTCACAATTGCACGTGATGAGCTCCAAGCACATCCTGACAGAGACTAAATGGCCAACAAGGCTAAAAATCCTACCACTATCAATGAACAAACTGATGCACAGCAAAAACTAAGCTCTCAGAAGAGGGACCAGAGTAATCTGAAGCAACCACACCCCTTTTATATCTGCAAGAAAGGAAGCACCGTAACAAGGTATAGGGGGGAGGGATAGCTCAGTGGTTTGAGCATTGGCCTGCTAAACCCAGGGTTGTGAGTTCAATCCTTGAGGGGGCCACTTAGGGATCTGGGGCAAAATCAGTACTTGGTCCTGCTAGTGAAGGCAGGGGACTGGACTCGATGACCTTTCAAGGTCCCTTCCAGTTCTAGGAGATAGGATATCTCCATTAATTTAAGGGGATAGGCAGGGTGTGTCCACAATGTCAACACTGCTGCCAGAAAACGTCAAGCTTGCACTGCTGCAGTGGAGGAGACCATGCAGACAATGCACTAAGCACTCTTTGCTCCCAGGCACCAGAGAACCCACTACCGCCACTTTGACTTCTCTGCCAAGCAGCCCTGCAGAACTTTTTGGAAAAACGTTTACTGACGTGTCTAGGAGAAGCCAGTTTGAACAGAGGCAGCATGCAGGTTAGAGTCTCAAAGTTTGAAGAATGACATGGGGACACCACTTCTATGAAGGAGGGAATTTACTACTGAGGCTTTGTCTACACTGCCACTTTCAGCGCTAAAACTTTACAGGGATGTGAAAAGACACAAAAGTTTTAGCGCTGAAAAGTGCCAGTATAGACAGCGCTTTATCGCCGGGAGCTACCACCCCTCATTCGGCAGGTAGTATAGACATAACCTTCGTTTCTACAGCACTTACCACCCCGGAACAGAGGTGCTTCAGTTACAGGTCATTAAGAACCAGCACAAACAAAAACAGTAAATCAAATCCTGGACAAAATAAATGGCATCTCGGATTGTGGCCTACAGGTCGGTGAACTTCACCCAGAGACTTTACAGGCATTGATTTTCAAAAGATGGAACTCTCAAAACTACAGAATTACTGAAATTTGGGCCATGTCTGCACTAGAGACCTTAGAGCGGCACAGGTGTACCAATGCAGCTGCTCTCCTGTAAGATCTCCTGTGTAGCCGCTCTATGCCAGCGGGAGACAGCTCTCCCGTCGACATAATTAAACCATCCCCAACAAGCGGCGCTAGCTATGCTGGCGGGAGAGCATCTCCTGCCGACATAGCGCTGGCTGCACCACTGGCGCTTGTCGGAGAAACTTATGTTGCTCAGAGGGGTGTTTTTTTCAATACCCCTAAATGGCATAAAAATTATACCCACAAAAGTGGTAGTGTACACAAAGCCTTAGGTTGTGATTGCAAGTACTTCTCATCCACTTTACCTATTCTAATGAAGAATTCACATAAGAATTCAAGGCCATTCAAGGTCTTTAAAGGCTGTCACCACCTGCAAGTGCGCAGAAAGCCAGAGCAGTGACTCTGGGTATTATGTTCATGCATGCCTATCTGTAATGAGGCGGAGAGGGACAGGTGTGTTCTAGAAGACCAGTAGTCTTCCCGTAGGCTTGAGGACTAGTCCTATTCAGAATGTAACACAGCAGTGAAGCTTGAAGGTAACCAAAGCATCTGACCACTGGGAGGTCTGCACTAGCGAGTAATGACTGCACATCTCCTGGCCAGCCATAGATGAAACACCATAGACCATCCATGTCATCTGGGAACAATGATGAATCTAGTGAGACCCAGAAGCTACAAGCCATTCTGGCAAAGAGCACAGACCCTCAATAGATGATCAGACCTCCAAATACTTCTCCCTATCAACAGTGACTCCACACAAGAACAGGAACAAGGTGAAACCCTGCGAAGACAGCACATGCAATGGCAATCCAGCACGCTTTCAGATGCCTCAGAAGGAGCAGCCCACAAAGTGAATCCCTTAAGATCCTACAGGAGAGGCAACAATAGAACATAAGAGCGGCCATACTGGGTCAGACCAAAGGTCTATCTAGCCCAGTATCCTGTCTTCCAACAGTGGCCAATGCCAGGTGCCCCAGAGGGAATGAACAGAACAGGGAATCATCAAGTGATCCATCCCTGTCGCCCATTCCCAGCTTCTGGCAAACAGAGGCTATGGCCACCATCCCTGCCCACCCTGGCTAATAGCAATTGATGGACTTATCTTCCATGAATTTATCTAGTTCTTTTTTGAACCCTGTTATAGTCTTGGCCTTCACAACATCCTCTGGCAAAGAATTCCACATGTTGACTGCGTTGTGTGAAAAAATACTTCCTTTTGTTTGTTTTAAACCTCCTGCCTATTAATTTTATTTGGTGACCCCTAATTCTTGTGTTATGAGAAGAAGTAAATAACACTTCCTTATTTACTTTTGCCACACCAGTCATGATTGTATAGACGGTTATCATATCCCCCTTAGTTGTCTCTTTTCCAAGCTGAAAAGTCCCAGTCTTATTACTCTCTTCTCATATGGAAGCTGTTCCATATTATCATTTTTGTTGCCTTTTTCTGTACCTTTTCCAATATATCTTTTTTGAGATGGGGTGACCACATCTGCATGCAGTATTCAAGATGTGAGCGTACCACGGATTTAGAGAGGCAACATGATATTTTATGTCTTATTATCTATCCCTTTCTTAATGATGCCCAGTGTTCTGTTAGCTGTCATTAATATAAAAAGCTACTGGCAGATCAAATGGACACGTACTGCTAGATCAAACAGTTGACACAAGTCTAAGTTCCACACTTAGATCTGAACCCAAATCAAAAGAATCAAAAAAGTGAACATCTGTCAGGGAAAGTGTAATTATAATTGGCCCTGCCCCAGCACAGGGGGCTGGACGAGATCTCTCTCAAGGCCCCTTCCAGCTCTGAATTTCTTCAATTCTCTAAGTCTGTGGAATCCGAGGGTTGCTGGAACTGACACATCACCTTCCCTAAAACTCATCTGCTATTGTGGGAGCTAATCTGGCAGAATCAACTGTCCCCACAGCATAGATCAATTGCCTATAATTTGGAAACTGCCATTGCTGTGACCCACGGTTGCTCCACACCTTGGAAAAGTCAGACTAAAGCAGGGGTAGGAAACCTATGGCACGCGTGCCAAAGGCGGCACGCGACCTGATTTTCAGTGGCACTCACACTGCCCGGGTCCTAGCCACCGGTCCAGGGGGCTCTGCATTTTAATTTAATTTTAAATGAAGCTTCTTAAACATTTTTAAAACCTTATTTACTTTACATACAACAATAGTTTAGTTATATATTATAGACTTATCGAAAGAGACCTTCTAAAAACATTAACAAGTATTACTGGCACGCAAAAAAGAGTGAATAAATGAAGACTCGCACACCACTTCTGAAAGGTTGCCGACCCCTGGACTAAAGCATACAAGTGCTCTAAAAAAACCGGTTTCTCCATTCCTCTAGGTACTGTAGTGGAAGGAAAATTGTCTTGTTCTCAAGCCTAAATACTAGATTTGGGCCAATTACTCACGGGTTGCCACATTACAAGGGCTGCTTACAGCGGCCACGTACACAAGGCCAAGTTATTTCCCTTCTGAACTGGTTTGCGATTTGAGCCCAGCGGAACTAGGACTCCGCCGCCCGAGAGCGGCGCTGCCCAGCAGACGTCCGCGGGGCTTGCACGGGCACGGAGGCCGCAGGTGTGGAGGCGCGGCACGCCAGGGGCTGGGGGTTAACGCTGCCCAGCGGCGCGAGCGGCTCCCGGGGCGGGCGGGCGGTGCACGAAAGGCCGCCGCTGGGGCGGGGAGGCCCGAGGGACCCAGGCTCGGGAGGCCCGAGCTCCTGTCGCTGCCGGGTTTCGGGACCCGGGGCCACGCTCAGGCTTGGCCAGGCTCGGCCGTTCCCCTGGGGGTCCCCGCGCAGCCCCGGCGGGGAGCGGGGCGGGGCGGGGGCGGGGTCCGGCCGCGGAGCTCCCCGCACAGCGCGGGACTGGCCCGCGGGCTCCGTACCTGGCGCGGCGCATGGGTCCGGCGGGGCGCGCTCAGCCCGGCTCCGGCGGCGGCGGGCCGAGGCTGCCGAACGAGGCTCAGGATGGCGGGGGCGGGGCGCAACCACGTCGCGCACTCAGCCGCCGAGCTCCGGCCGGCCCAGACCATCCCCGCCGCAGCCAATGGGAGCGCGCCGAGCCCGACCTGCCAGCCAATGGGAGCGGAGTTTCCGCGTGACCTGCAGCAGCCTAGCTCGTGAGCACAGCCCCCGCTGGTGCTTTGCGGAGCAGCCCCGAGACAC